TGTGGATGAATTTATGGATACATTTTGATGATTTTTGGAGTATGTTATAGAGAAAATTTTTGCTACTATTGTATTAAAGTTTGTATGCGAAATCACTATACTTTTTATAGTATTATAATTTATATATATATTTAATATATTAAATTATATTTATATTATATTTAATATATATTTAATATTTTTTGATTCAGACTTGAACATTCCGTGGATTTTTCATAGAATTAAAGAAATATCCGTGGAATATAAAGATAAGATAAAGATAAAATATAATATAATAAAGATATAAGATAAAATATAATACTCTTGTACGAATGAAATTAGTGACAATTACAATGATAATGATTCAAATATAAGAAATATTTTGGATGTTGGTCGTCAAGTTTGTAATAAAATCACTGTGATGTAATATAACCGTTTATGTATATAAAAAGAAATTCAAAGAAGTTTCAAAATTTACATATATATAACATATTTTAAAATCATCAAAATTATACATTAATAAATTGATCGAGTTGTGAAAAGGATGTAATTCAAGAGAAAGAAAAGAGAAGACACTTGCACAACATAACAAAAAATATAAGAATAGGTAGAGGAAGGTAGATAGAAATCTTAAAATTAACAAAATTTTAATTCATAGAAAACAATCATCTGAAGAATTTGATAAAGCAAATTTATTTCCACGTGAAAGGGATATAAAGAAAATAAAAAACACTTGCTTTAACAACACAAGGAATCAAGAAACTTATGCTCTAAAGGTAACTCATAGCAGAAAACAATCATCATTTTAAGAATCCTATTTATTTTTTATATACGTTCCATTATACATATTTGATAAAATAAATATTTTCATGTAATAAAGGAAGAAAACAGAAAACACTTGCATGCACTTTAAGAATACGAGGAATCGAGAAATCTATGTCTTAAAGGTAACTCATAGCAAAAAACGATCACTATTTTAAAAATTCTATTCATTTTTTATATATATTCCATCAAATTTGATAAAGTCAATGTTTTCATGTGATAAGGAAGAGAACAGAAGACACTTGCACGACGCCCTAAGAATATGAATCAAGAAACCTATGCCCTAAAGGTAACGAAGTCCCTAAGTGACAGCGGAAGCGAGGATTTTAAGTGCGGAGCCGAAACACATATTTCTGGACGCCGTCTATATTTACACTTGGTGTGCACCTATGCGCAGGAGAGGCGCTGAGCGATTTACGCGTCTGGAACTCCCGGCATTCCGCGCCATTTTCTTTGTGTCCCGTCAATTCTCTCTGGAAGCCAGATACCAGTTTCGAATTCCGTTTATACGTTTATCCTCTCTCTTAACTGACTTGCCAATTCACGGTTAAACCATACACGATTTAGATTGTCCGCCAAACTTGTCTGTGGGCAAGTCTGCCATGGATTTAGATGTTTGGACGAGTTTGAGATGGAACTGCAATGTTATTTTAGCTTGAGCATTGGAGATTGGTGAATGTAGAGATTGCAGGAAAGATTGTTGAGATTTGCGAATGATGTATTGCACAAGGAGAATGGGTTAGAGAATCGAATATGGATTGGATTCGAATCTTAATTTTTCGAAACGAGTTTTTCGAGATCATAGATATTCGAGTCGATTTAAATATGATAAATTTTTAAAAAAATCTTGCTTTTATAAGTTTGCATCTATGTCTATCTTTTTATCGCTTTCACATAAATTTTATTAATTTGTTACCGATGTTCTATTACTCAAAACTTTTAAAATTATCTTCTAATTAATTTTATTTCGAATTTTGCGTCATATGAATGAATTTGAAACAATTTAAACTTATCATTATTTATTCGAATTATTCTCTGTGAAATATACGATACGCTTTGAAATAAGTTTCTTCAATTATAAAGAACATCTAAACCGCACATGAATGCTCATAAATAAATATTTTCAATATTCTATAATTTTATTGGTGAATCATGATATCGATGATCAATGCATCATTCTAGCAATGATTATTATTAGCTGCGAAAAGATATCTTAAACAGGATGACAGACAAGCCATATTATATGTGGTCAACTTCAATCTGCGTTTCTAACCGCGTTACATCATACAGGTTCGTCACTAGATCACCTCTAACGACGACCTAACGACCGGATACGTCGTTTTCAGATTAGAATTCGACTGATCGAGGATGAAGATAAGTGAAATCATTATTGATAGTTATCAGGTGACAAGATTAGAGTGAGATAATTCTAGAAGTTTCTGACAAAATATTATCACATATGAATCATATTTTAAAAGAATAATGAGATATAACATATCTGTGATTAATATTATAATATTATAATAGCTTTGAATTCATTTTCATTAAGAGAATAATTTTCATAAAGGAAAAATATAATAATCTTATTAAAAGTACTTAACAAATAATTTTTTTATGAATATATAAAAATATTGAAATATTAGTAATATTATAACATCAAATATTTAAAATATAAAATTTTTATTCAAAATATAAACTATTTTATTTCATAATTAATATCATGGATATATTCTATAATTAATATCTTTGAATCTATTTATTTATCTAAACAAAATAACTTAAGTGAAGAAAATAGAATAATTCTCATAAAAAGAGAATAATTCTTAATAAGATCTTTTGAATAAATTAAAAATTTAGTTGATATTTATGATCTCTAACCTTATTGCTATTGATGATAGTAGGTACATTAAACGAATGCTTGATCAAATGTGAATACCCCCATATGATGGAAAATACCTACATATTTCAATTTTCGCGGAAAAAAAATAGACAAATGAAGAGAGATTAATTACTATATCTTTTCATTTACATAAGAGGATAATATAGAAGAAAAACAAGATATTGTGTTTAGCTCGTCAATTGTTCTCGTTTTGATTCCAATAGTGATAGCTCTTCTTTATAGTTAGGTTAGGTTAGAAAAGTCTGTTGTGGATTTTCGACGGTAAGATCATTGTTTCGAAAGTTGGAGTTGCCAAGTGACCTGGAAACAGGCCGCGGGTAGTAAAGTGATTTCGTGAAATATTGGAACATGTTTGAGATCAGTGAACGAACAAGAGGAACCATGAATCGAAATCGTTGGCTTGAATCGTCGATTCTTTAGTCGATTGGAACATTTTTTCTTTTTTCTCTCTGGTTGGGCAATGGACGTGACATATTGTGATTGGAATAGGATTTGAAACGTTATTCATAATTTTCAAGATGAGATGGAATTGAAGTTATAATTAGTGAATCAGTGTCTGTTTGACAGATAAATAAAAATATTTTATTACCATTAATTTATATATTTTACATTTATTTTATATTTATTAATTTTAATATTTATTTCAATAATTCGAAGTTCATTTCATTCAAATATTTCATTATTTCGAAGTTTTTTATTCAAATATTTAATATCATTAATAACCTAATCTAATGTAACTCAATATATCAATATCATAATTCACTATTTCACTGTCTCATAATAAAAATTTCACTACATTTCAAAATCCTTATATTAAATATTTATGTATACAAAATAATTGGTTGCAAAATCAATCTTAATAGTTTCATTTAATACTTGTTACACGTAATGGATAATTAAGCAGTATCGTTATTCGACCTTCGAGAATTCGATTCTTGTTCGAAACATAAATCTCTATGTCGTTTTGCCGGACAATGTTGCACCGGCTCTGATTAACTGCACGTTAATCATTTCTGGATGAACCGTTGAGATACGCTATTTATGGCATCTTTACACTAAGAGTCGTTACACAAGTATAGAAAGGGAAAATTGTTGGTCGATATTCAAATATGCGAATCAAAAGTTAAATATGATTCCAGAGTTTTTATTTTCTTGACACATACGATTATAAATATTTGAATAAGCTGGTAGCTGATTTTTGTGTTATATACGACACAATATTAATTATAATTCTTTTGAATTTTTCGCGATTATATCTGGAATTACATTTTTAAATATTTTTTGCATGATTTATAACTGTAATAATATTAAATAATATTATTTTTAACTCTTTATTTATCGTACATTATACATGTCCATAAACCTTGAAATTATCTGTTACTTTATTATGCAGATAACATGGCGGACTGCCAGCTTGCGAATATTTCGCAAGCTTTGCTAATTGCTTTAATAACGATCCGCGCAAACATAAAACGTTACAGTTTCCATCGCATGCACTTTGCCTCTTATAAAGAGAAGCTAGAAATTTCTATCAGAAGCTAAAAACTGATTTATATTGTTGATTTCTTTCGTATTTTAATATACCTTCATTAAACTTTATAAAATACATGACAGAGACATAAATTAAGGATTCATTAATTCGAATGGAAATGACGTTAAGTAAAATTTACAGACGAGAAAAGAGATATTTAAAGAATTTTGAATTTGTTAGAAGTAACTTATTAAAAAGATAAGAGAAAATAAAGAAATTCAATTTAAATTGGATTTTAATTTTTCATTATTATTGACATTCTACTTTCTATCAAATTACTAATTCTTTTCTATTCTTCTAATTATTAATTAATCTTTCTTTATTCTTCTCTGTTTTCAAACACTTTTACATTATTAATCATTAATATTTTTCTATTCTTTATCAAACACTTCTGTCTCAATAATTATTGATATTTTCTCTATCAAACACTTCAATATTACAAATTTCTCTATTCTATCACTAATTATTATTAATCTTCTTCTTATCGCCATTAAACTTTCATCTCCATTATTATCAATATTTTTTCTCTTAATCATTCTTATTCATTGATCAACAATCGTCTAAAAATAACTGTCCCCTTACAAAACAAAGGAAAAAAAGAAAAACTAGCAAAGAATAACATCACATAACCACACACTTTCGATTGATACTCTCCATCCGCCACCTGTGTGCACGTGTGTACACAAAGGGGCGCGCAGTGGCGCTGGCGCACGTCTACAATCATATGAAACCTGCGCGCCACGAGGCAACATCGCCAGTGCCATTCGTCGCCGCAGTGCGATACGGTCGATAGAAGAAAGACGACAGTTAAGAGTGATTTCAGCTGCCGCAGCATCGCCATTCCATAATTTTCCCTTGAATCGACACTCGACACGCGTATCCCACCCCTTTTCGAGGGTGTCCACGCTTCATTTCGCTTCGGGATGCCGTACGTGCGGCATCATGATGCGGCTACGATTCGATAAGAGTTTTACGAATGTGGCGAGGTAAACTGGTGTTTTTCGGGGGTTAATGTGTAAAGGGACAGCTGGTTTTAAATGACGGAATGATTGGAATGTTTTTGAGCTTTTATTTATTTTCGTGATCGAGACAATGGTTTTTAAAAATATTTATTTTTCATTTTTAATTTTCGAAATTAGGAAATTATGGATATTGAAATTTAAATAATTGATGATGTTTGATAATAATTGAATTGTGAGAATTTATTTTAATATTTATAAAAATAGTATTATAGATTAAGAATTTGAGGCAATTATTTTTAAAATTATTTTTTCTTTTTTGATTTTTTTTTGGAAAGAATTATGTAAAATATTTTTTTTTTAATTTCTTTTTGAAAGGAAATAACCATGAATGTTAAAATTTAAACAATAAAATTATATTATAATTATATTAATAGATGTTGATTTGAATATCTTTTTTTTTAGAAATATTCTAGATATAGATAGTACAGTACAGTTTAAAAAATTCAATATTTTTTTATTTTACTTTATTTTCTAAAAATGAATATTGAAAAAATTTTTTTTTATCATACTGATATTTTTTTTCATATTTAAATGTTTTTCTGTTTAACATATAAAAACACATTATCTTATCTCATTAATTTTAATCTTCCTGTCTTCAATGTTCATTTAATCCATCGTTAAATTCTGCAAATATCTCAATACTTATCTGTTTCATTAATTAAAAACAAAACTTTGTCGAACATAACCAATATCAATAAAAATCTAAAATAAAAAATATCAATAGTTACAAACATCCGATCGTTTCGTCGGATAACATCCAGAAGTTATCACGATCACGAGGGCGCCGGAAGTAGAGAGGAGGGAAGAGGAAGCGTGCCGATTCCGCGTTTCAAGAACGTATTCGTGTGCCACGAGTGAACTAAAACTGTTTCGTTCGGCCTCGTGGTCGAGCCGTGACATTGGACTTTCTTGGAATCTGTTTACACGCGTGTCACCGCAAAAATCGTGGAATCCTCGACCTTTGTGCTCCTGTCTATCGATCACTGTCGGTGGATCGCAACTGTGAATTATACAACTGACTGAGGATTTAATTCGATTCGTAACAATCGATGAATCAATTGCATTGCATTGATTGTGATCAGTGGATTGGTTTTAAATTGAGTTAAGAACGATTTTTTTTTTATTATAATTGTGATGATACAGTTATGTATTAATTGAACTTATTGCCTGTAATTAATTAGGAGTTGAGAAAAGTGATTAATTATTCCGAATTATAATTTTTATAATTTTATATATTATAATTTATAATTTTCAATTATAATTTTCCATTTATTAGTGAAGTTTTGTGAAAATTTGAGAAATTAATTATCACGAGTAATCAAGTGTTAGCATGACAAAATTCTCGAAGTGATTATTTCTCGTCTGCTGTATCGTTTATTATTAATCGATACTTCTTGCAATTCTCGAAGGATCTTCAATCTAAAAATAGAATTATTTTTATATAAAATTTAAACTCTTTGAAAAATTATTTATTAGTGAACTTTTAGTGTAAAAATTATATACGTGGTTAAAAAGCATCTTCCTTAATGTATATGACTATATCCCACAAATTCATTTAAATCATTGCAATCGTCAACGTAAAAAACAGGGTTTCTCTCAAAAAACTATTTACCAATGAACTTCCAGGGAAAAAATCCCAGAAAATCACAATCATATACATGACCAAGAAAAACTTTCATAACCTCAACGTAACTATACATCTGTTATCTCTTCCATCCTATTAATCGATCCATATTGTTATTCTCAAAGGATCTATATTCTCAATAATAAGTTTTCTCTTAAAAAAAAATTCAAAAGATTATCCAGTGAAGATCCAGTGAAAAATTCGAAAAGAAATAAGAAGAAATAATCGTGAGAAACAAGAGAATCTTCTCCTTCAATATGGCTACTTCTCATTCAAATTATCTCTTCCATTCTGTTAACCGATCCACGTCACGATTTTAGACGATTCGTCTGCTGAGAGTGGGCGTTCTGGCGCCAGAGGGTTGCTAATCGATTCCAGCCTCCTCTCAAAGATGTTTCTAACGTTTCGAGTTTTTACGTGATAGTCACGTGGTAATCGTGGAGGGTCCGTGGTCGATCGAAAAGGGGACGCAAGCATTGCAAGCCAAGGGGACTTTTCCCACTGGCTCTCAACACTGTAGCAGAAAATCGATCCGACGTGGCAGCCACCCTATTGCAACCACCCATCACAGTGCAATGACCTCGAAACCAGGAAGGTCCTACAGCGTGAGGTAAGAAGGAATCATTATAGAGGAAATAATAAAAATTTCGTATTTTTTTTTGGAGAGAAAAAAATTAGAATAATATGGTGCTAATTGAAAGTGAAAATTATTGTAGAGTAATTAATGCTGAAAAATATTCTTGATAATAATTCTCGAAAATATTCTTATCTTAAAGAAGAAAGGAATATAGATAGATAATTTTTTTTCGTTGTAGAATTGTTTCTATATCGAAAATGAAAATTATTATCACTCTCAATTCTGTGTCATACGATAAAATATTCTTGGTAGCAACTCTCAAGAGTGAGAGAAATTATTTGTCATCAATACTGTATAAGATAAATTATTAATGGACGATCATTCTCAATGCTACGTTTACACGTGAAAAATATTTTCGATATAAACTCTCAAATATTTATACATTGAGAAAAAGAACATAAAAAAAATAATTAATTCTCAAAAATTATTCTTTTATATGATTAATAAATACTTTTCGTTAATATTGAAAATTATTCTCAAACAATCATTCTACATACTATACCTATTTCTGAAAAATATTCTCTCGAGACTATCCGCGCCCTAAAAGAAGGAAGGAAGGAAGACGGAGGTAGAGAAAATAGCCGTGTGACTCCCTTTCGTACGTCTCGACGTCTACGACTTTCGTCTCGACGTTTTTCTCTATTTCACTTCCGGTCGCCGGATTTTAAAGCTGATTCTAAAGTTGAACGCGGCTTTAAGGGCCTCGTGTATACACTCGATCGGTCTGGCGCACGAATACCAAGCTTGGAATTTTACGATCGCGTTTGTAGAGAAACTATCGCTCCATTTTCCACGTTCCTATCGTTCTGACATTTCGTTTCCTTCGTTCCTTTTTCGAACGTCCGTTTACGTTACACACGTTATATTTTCTCGTTTTGCCTTTCTTCTTCTATGTCGTTCTTGTTTACTGATCGTCCAGGCTCGTAAGGGATGAGGAATAGTTAGTTGGTAAATTCACGGCCGTGACACACGATCTTGAAACGGACCATGCTTCCGTGCGAAATGAAATGGTGGAGTGGCTGTTAAATTAAGAGTGAGGTTAAGATTTTCTAAATGATGTAGGAACTATGTATGTATGGGATTATGTATGTATATATATATTGAATTTGTTTTTTTTTCTGTTAATATTAATACATTATTTATTGTTTAATTATTTATTATCAATTTATTATTATATTTTATTTTTAATATCGAAATATATACATATTTTTGTTAATATTAATAAAAATTATTATATTAAATTGTAGTAATTGTAAATAATTAAATAACATGATTTTCGATAGTACAATAGGGAAGAGTACAATAATGTTTTATTGTTATAAGGATTATATAGGATTCTTATATATAATTCTTAATATTTTCTATATAATATTTTTTTATATTAAATTATTTAAAAATTGAATATAACATTTTTTTTCTTATTTTCTTATTTTTATAGATTATGTTTTGAAAATTAGCTAGAAAAATACGAAATATCCTAAAATCCTGAAATAAAATATTATGTAATAGAATATTTATTATGTTCATTTAATTTTCATTTTCTAGAATACATTAAAATGCATAATATATCATTAATATATTATGTTTATTATTTCGCAGAATATTAAATAAAAATGATAAAGAATATAAGAAATGTTAGACATTCGGATAAACACACAATTCGAGAAGTGTCACCTATTTTTCAAGACTTGTTTTGATGAATAAGACTTCGAAGACTTTTTTCAACGTTTTTAAAGAGCACGCATGAAACATGTTGATTGTATATCTATTTTTTTCTCCTTTTGAAGAAACCAAAGTACTCTCAAGCTCATTGTGCCCCGTGTTCTTTACGTACGAATGCCTTCTATTCTTCTCTCGACGTCCATTGTCTGATTTTTCTTCAAAATAAAAAGCGCTATTCAAATCGCGAGGAATAAAAATTACAGAGAAAAAAACTTAACAACGTTGTAATATTTTATCACGGTCAAAACAATTTTCCCTGTTTCTTCGAATTAATTTTTCGACGAGTAATGAAGATCGATTAATTTTAATGACATACCATCAAGACACGTATCTAATAATCATAATTTCACATTGCAAAGCTGAAGGTAGAAGAGAGTGATGTTAAAAATGATTAATCGATTATTACTTTCGTATCCTTTCTAGCCTAATCAATTCGTGAAATCGTAAAAAATTTCACTACATCTTTATTAAAGATATATATACAAAGTTTGTTTTAATTCCAACTTCTAATAATGCTTATGTAAATACATTAAAATAGATATGCATTTCAAATTAATAATTTTTTACTTTCTTGAGAAAATATCAAAAAGTCAATATTTGATGAAGAAAAAAATTAAAATAAAAAATTATTAAAAAAAATTATAAGAATCAAAATGATTATTCGAATATCCATTTGTCTACACAATGATTAAAGAAAATATATTATATTATACTTGAAAAATTCTATTTTTTTAATTTTTTTATAAGTATAATTCAAATATTCATTTCTATTTCGTATTTATTATTTTTTATATTATTGAGAAAATATAAGATTGTTCTGCATTTCTATTGTTTTATTTTTTGATCCTTTTGCGTAATGTCAAGAAAGAAATTATTAAAAAAAATATTTGTTAAATCATTAATAAGAAAATTATTAAAGAAAGTACAAATATAGTTACTATTTACAAGGATTAAAGTAAAATGTATTACGTCACAGCATTCATTTCAACATCAATTTAGAAAATTCTAATTTCCTTGAATTGAAATTAAGTTTCTTGTATCCTTCGCAGAAATTAATTATGCATTGCTAAAGTGAATTGCCCATAAGCATGACGCTGCGTGAAACTTTTCAATTTGTCAAAAAATCGTCGCAAGAGGGAGCTTTGATTGGTGGGCGATTATTATTTCACTGTGAAAGGGCCTTTTCATACAGATACGTGGCGGGATGTTCGCCGCGGCAAGATTATTCCGCGACTAAAGGATATTTCTGACCGAGAATGTTCAAAACTATGCTCGACAAGTCATTTCTGCGCAGGGAGAGAATATTCGAAGAAACATATCGAGCGGAACAATAACTCTTTTGTGTCGGGATATCCGCGTGTAAAAATTCCCTTGCCTTTCCATCATTCGTTTCATGTAGAATTTAATATGATGAATCTGATAGAAAGTGGTGATTTTTATTCCGTGAAAAATAAATTGAATATCATTAGAAGATATTTTTATGGCTTTGAATATAATCAAGATTGCAATGATTATTCCTGAAAAATAAAATAAAGTATAATTAATACAAGTAATTATTATTTTTATAATATACTTTGTTTAATTTGATCTATTTGTATTTTATTCTATTCAAGCTGAAAGTTTTTAGTAGAATAATAATTTTATAATGCAAATTTTGTTTAATCTACTTTCAAATTAAAAGTTTGAATTTATAATATGACAATTATGTTTTTATAATACATTTAATTGCAAAATATTCAAATCTAAATTAAAAGTCAATAATTTGAATGCAACAAATAAACTTTTAAGAAAAACTTCTTACAAGTCTCATACAAAGCGTTTTACTTATTTCACAATTTTTATTCCTTTTTATTGTATCCGGCACTTTCACCACCGTCACACGTTTTGAAGAATAGTTATAGTTGCTCTTAACAGAAGTCTTCTTTATTCTTTTTTGAATTCCTGTTTAATTTCTCGGTATTTCCGGCTGTGAATATTGCCACTATACACAATATAAAGAAGAGATGAAGAAGGAAGCAACGAAAAAAAATCTCGTTAGTAGAGCGTTATGCGACGAAAAATCTATAGAAACAGAAATATCATCAAACAGAAACTTAGCATGTGGTTTAAATTTCAATCTATTAAATAAATATAATATCTATAAATATATATATATATAAAATATAATATAATATATATACATATTCACTGACCATGTGTTCTTTTGTAGTGAGTTCGAGCGTGAATTCTTACGTCGAATCACCTATTTTCCGAGGATTTCTAAGCTTCTCTAAGCTTATGTATGCACAGTGTAAACAACTTGTTCTTCTTGTTCTTTTATCTTTTTTGAACGATGTCTTCGATGAATTTCACAGACAGTAATCACTAGCATTTTTTTCTACATTAATCCTTTGAATATTTGGAAAAATGAAAGATTTTATAAATTTTTGATGCATTAATTTATTTGATTAATTAATAATAGAATATTTTTTTCTTTTTGTATTTAATTTAGCTACTTATTGATTTTAACCTCTTCTATACAGTGTTGTTATGTATGCGACTAAAATCAACGATCTGAAAAAATTAATGATTTTGAAATATATTGTAAAAAATATTATTCGAACAACTTTTATATATAATCATATATAATCAGATGACTTTAGTTTTAATTATTTGTAAAAAACTCGATGCTATATTATTGAATTCATCTATACTTATCTGTGTGCGTCTAACAATATATGCAACTGCTAAACAGTAACGCCACCACTGAGTTACTCCCTTTTCTCCCACTACGTTTTCTCTGAGTTTTTCAAGTTTCTTAATTTTTCATTTGGTTGCATGATCATCGTCATTATTTATAGTTTTACAAACTTTTTATACGAAAATTAATAATGAACTTTTGGAAGTCTTTCGATTTTTAGTGCGCCTGGTTCGAATATGTCAAAACAAATCATAACCTCAAATCATAACCAAATAATGAGAGCAAAACCAGAAAATTTACATAGAGTTTCAAATTCTCAGCAAAATTACCTAAACAGTTAATATTACTGTGAATTTCCACCCACAAAATACACAAATATTAATATTTTCCCACGTTTCAATGTAAATAAAATCTCCGATCGTTTATATAATACATATCCTTACGAAGATATTGCTTGTAAGTATTTGACGCGCAAACAATGAATATATTGATAGAATACGTTTATTTAGGTTCGTCCCATCTCATATTCAAAAGCAATTTCTAGAAGAGAAAGGTGCGGCAATGGGAATGG